GACTGGACGGAAATGCCGGAGAGCAAGGCGAACAGCTCTCAACTCCAGCCAATTGATGCTGTTCGCCTTCTCCGACGGGGACCAACGCCCCTGGACTACGTGATCCAGAAGGTGAGCCCCCCAGCCCACAGGAATGGCATCTGATGTTAAAACCAGTCGGTCGACTTCGAGGAAGACACATCCCCGAAGAAGTGCGGGGGACGTCCACCAGATCAGTGACGACCGAAGTTGAGGTGGAAGCCGAACTGACGACGGAGAAGTGCTGCGATTGGCTTTCTGAAATGGGAGCAGGAACCATTGCAACGGTCTCGTATGTCTGCATGCCCAGGGAACGATATTGATGCAGGACACCATTTTCCCTAAGACCTGGGATAGGCGCCAAATCGGAACCGTCCGGCTGGCCGAAATTTGAGAGACTGATGACTTGATGTCTTTGACGCGATCCGGTGACAGGAAGACCTGGCCTTTGGTTGTATCTATCACCGCCCCCAGATGAAGAATCCTTGTCGTCGGAACCAGATGACTTTTCTTGTGATTTATGGTGAATCCGTGACTCTGAAAGACTCTTAGCACTGTCTCCATGTCGCTCGACGCTTGATGCAGAGAAGATGATAGGACAAGGATGTCGTCTAGGTAACACAGAAGACGAATTGGTAGAGCCCTCAGGGATGCGGCTACCACGGAGACAAGTTTCGTAAAGGTTCTGGGAGCGGAGGAGAGACCAAAGGGCATCGCACAGTATTGATAATGGTGAGAGTTGTATTCGAATCGCAGGTACTTGCGATGCGCCTGGTGGATCGGAACATGTAAATAGGCCTCCCTCAAATCCACCGACTGCAGAAGATCGTTCGGCCGGATACATGTCAGAATCGACGAAAGGGACTGCATCTTGAACCTGCGATACAGGATGTACTTGTTCAAGTGCTTCAGGTTCAAAACACCTCTGTGCCCCCCCGAAGACTTGGGGACCAGGAACAAGATGGAATAGAACCCCTTCGTCCTTTGGGCCTCGGGCACTGGTTCTATGGCCTTGATGGTTAAGAGATGAGTAATCTCCGCCCCCATTAGTTGTCTTTGGTGTAAGACTGGAGATACTGGACAGCGACAAAATCGGCTGGGAGGGACCCCGACGAATTCGAGGCAAAGGCCGAAACGAACGGTGTGTCGGATCCACTCTTCGGCCATTGAAATTTGCCACTGATGATGAAACAGCTGGAGACGACCACCAATGGCATCTGGATGTTGTGAGTCATTTGCCACATTTGTTGGGACGGGGTCCGCCACCTCTGAAAGGACGCTTGGAAGATGGTTGTGAGCGTTGTCGGTCCCGAAAGGACTGCCAATCCTGGAAACGGTCACCGCCGTGACCAAATGGTCGTTGAGTATAGGACCCATTGGAACCCGAATAGGTTCGAAATGTTTGTTGATTACTGTACGGCGTATACCTGCGTTCTGGTCTGCGAAAGGAAGAAGGAAGAACTTTACGTTTTTCTTTATCTTCCACCAAGAGAGGGTCTAAAGCAGCGCCAAACAAGGCCGGAGCTTTAAAGGTTGATGAAGCTAGCTTGCACTTTGACTTCGAATCGGCTTTCCAATTTCGGAGCCAAAACATACGTCTATTAGTAACTGTAGATGCCAAACACTGCGAATTTTGCGGCGTTTAAAGACGCATCCGCCGAGTATTCCGTAGCGGCGACTATCTTGTTAATATCCTGATGTACGCGTTTGTCGGCGGTGGGAAGACGCTCCTGTAGCTGTTTGAGCCAAATCAACGTTGCTCTATTGAAAAAAGATGTCGCTGTTGCAGCTTTTATTGCCCAAGTAGCCGCCTGATGGGCCTTACGAAATCCCATTTCAGTCTTTCTTTCGTCGGCCTTCAAACCGTCCATAGCATCTGCTGACACTACTGAGGACGAAGAAAGGTTGGCCACGGGCGCGTCTACCGTTGGTAAGGCTAGGATATCATCCAACTCTGCCGCCGCGCAATAAAGGCGTTTGTCCAGGTTACTAGGAGCTGTTAAGGAACCTGGCTGGCCGAAGGCACTCTGGATAACATCTGCAAAAAGTGGTGGACAAGGAATAGCGTCCTTCTCCTGCTTAGCCACCTGAAACAAAGCATCGTGTGGATTGGGCAGTTGTGTCAGAGGGAGGGGCAGTCAATAGTCCAAATTGAGTGGTCACTTTGGCTTTGTGCAAAAGCGATTTAAAAACTGAAGGACGAAACAGTCCAGTAAATGATGGTTTCTCCGGTGGCAGGCCTTCGTCCTCGGAGAATTCTGAGTCCTCCGGACAATCCTCCTCCTGGTCAGACGCCTCCGAGGAGGCATATTCGACCTGAGATAAGTCCTTTGCTTTAGGCTGAGGAAGAAGTTGAGTCAGCGGCTTTGACGAGCTGGGAGCTGTTTGAAGAGCGCCCATGCCTTGTTGTAATCCGGCCACCAAGATTTTGGCCAACGCGTTGGACAACATCGACTGCAAATCTATTTGGCCAGTGTGGTCCTCTGGTCTCAGTCCAGCAGCTGTCGGGGTAATGGTAGCCGATGGATATGGTCTGGAACGCTCCGGTTGGGCTGCTTGATGAACCAAGGATACGTTAGGTAAAGACATAGAAACCCCACGCACCGCTTCTAAATTGGAAGAAGTAGATGGGCGATGGTCAGTAGCCGTAAAAGTCTCCGAGCAAACCGAAGAAGCACTGGAATGGTCCTGGTAAACATCAGACCCTGCAGAGGTTGTGGGACAGGTGTTCTGGTCCCTGGCCTTCTTTGCTTTATCGAACTGTTTTTCAAGCGCCTTGTGACGCTGTAACTCAGATCTATGCCGACTTCCAAGTTGTGCGGCCTGAGATGTTCTGGATGAAGTAATATGTTTGGTTTTGGAGCGCTTCTTCCCCCCTTTGCGTTGGTTTGCCTCAGTAGTCGGAGCAGCATCCTGCTCCATGTCGGATGACAACTCCAAGTCCGCCATTATGATAACCAGCTGCAGGAGTGTCCCCAAGCAGCAAAGGTTAAATCAGCTAGCAATAAACAGTTGTATAAGGGACACCCGGGCCAGCAATCAGATATTCCCACTCGGTGGGGAAAGGTCTTCAAGCCCTGCGTCCAGCTAAACTCCAGGCCTTACAAGTCTGGACTTATATTAGAGCCAGAACAGTCTGTCCCCAATCCGCCATTGCTAACTCACGTTCAAAATGGCGGCCGCGAAAACTCCGTCCTCCAAAATGGCGACCGCAGCGAAGGGAATCAGTTTACAGCCTCCCTGGCCATTTACGAGCTGGGCGCCGACTGACAAAGGGCTGCCGTGGGCTTCCGCTCCGCGGACTTGCTTCTAAGGGTGCTAAGATTAACTTGAGGAAGGCGCCGTCGAAACGCCCGGCACGAAGGACGGCGGCGATCCAAAATGGCGGCCGGCAGCTCCGATCCCTGACGAGACGCAACTTGGGGACGCCTGGACCTCAGAGCCTGTCGGAAGCATGGACAGACGCTCCGGAGCCGCCCAAAACATCGGAGCTGAGGCGCTTGTGGTTATCCCAGCTCGCTAGGAACCCAACGAAGCGCCGGCGGCTAACAGTGGTCGCGGATCCGCCCAGCCGGGTCGGAATCCGGATAGCTGCCTCGCTGATAGATCGAAAGGAAGGAACGAAAGGGCCTGGAGCCCCAGGCACGTTATCACTCCCCCAGCAGCCTCACCAATCCCATGATGCAGCTCCAATCACACAGAAAAGGGATGTAAAATAACAAACTAAAATAAAAAATTAATTAAGGAAGCAGCCAAGGACTTTGAATAAATTTTAAAAGAGCTATGTGAAACACAAGTTCCCTCAGTCACTGAGTGAGAAAGACTGACGGGAGTGACACAGAGGGGGCGTGGTCAGCCAAGGAAAATCTGCACTCAGTTCCCCAGCAACGTGAGGAGAGCTTCCCCCAATCAATGGATTGGAGGAGCAGCGTGCTGGAAAACCAGAAACTTTTCTTTTGAGCTTAATGGCAAATGATTTGGAACTTTGATATTATATATGTTAAAGGCAACAAGACTATGCATAAAAATGGAAGGACATTTAAATTCTCACAATGGACAAATGGCTGCAAAAGTTGTTGGAGTTAAAAAAGATGGTTAAATTGATTGTTTTGAAGAAATACAAGAACATAAGTACTTTTGTTTCTACTTGGAAACTGCTTCTGGACTTTGTACTTGAGATAGAAAAAAATGAAACTTTGATTTTGGCTTTTACTGATTAGATAGATCTGTTGTTATAGAAACGACTAGTATTATGTAAAAGTAAAAAGTTGAGGTTCAATGTTACTTCTTATTCTACTGCATCAAAGGGAATCGGAAATCAATGCCTTTTCTTTCTTTTTTCCTTCTTCTCTACACTTTTCTCTTCCCTTTTTCCTCCCCTACTTTTCCTATTGTTTGCTTTTGTATTTTTGTATTTTATATTATAAACCATTAAAAAGGCAAAGATGAGAATTCTATAAAAGGTGATGACTGGAAAACCAAGTTGGATTATAGGCACCACTGGCTGCTAAACCCTTGTTAGTTCCAGAAGAAACTAGGATCAAGACAAGAAATAGAAGCAGTTGAAATCAGAAAATCACCAAAGAAGAAAGTAGGAATGGAGAAGGGACAAAAAGAAACATATCTTCCTCATGTGATGGCTATCATGAAGCTAGAGAAAACTACATCTTACCAGCCCATGAGAGATTGCTAGCCAATATAAATGAACACTTTGGAGGTCTTCTAATCCAACTCTATGTATATTTAATGTTATTCCTTGGATTTAAATGGCGAGGGGATGTATGTATACACACACACAAACACATGACAAAGTCTCAGTTGCAGGAAGCTGCTTGTGCTAAAACTAAATTACAAGAAGGGACCTATTGAACTATATGTTGGATCATTTCCTGTCAACACAAAAGCTCTGATGATGCACTTAATATTAGTTTCAGTTAATATTTCACAAATGCATAATAATTGTGGAATTTTTCTTGGCTTACCATAAGAAAAGGTGTCTGGAAGAGGCACACCGTGACCAGCCAATTCTTGGAATGTCCAGAACTTGTTGACACAATTAAGTATGGCTTGTGGACGGTTCATTAGCCGGCAGCCCATCTTCTCTAGATGACGAAGGACTGTAATATCACTATCACTTTGCACCCATGGTGTTGGTACACGAACCACCACTACTTGCGGGTAAGCAGTGATGAGTTCCCCACTGACCCGAAGACCTGCAAAAAAGAGTAACAAAAACATGCAAATTTGATTAAAAATAGTTAATAAAGAAAAAAGCACTATATTTAATCTAACAGAATGGTATATCCAGTCCCTTTAACTTTTGGAAAATGACACATAGCTGTTACATTATATCATGCCCCATTGCATTAGGTTTTACATGATTTTCACACAAACACCAAAGTCCTGGTGGTCTGCATAAATAACACTATAAATTACGTACTATGTATACTACAGTATAAATCAGCGGTCCCAATCTTTCTAGCACCAGGGATAGTTTTCGGAAGAAACAGTCTTTCACAGACCAGGGGTGGGGGTATGGTTTCGCACGCAACCTAGATCCCTTGCATGCAGTTGAAGCTTCACTTGCTCATCTGCCATTTGCACGACCCAGTTCCTAACAGACCATGGACCAATACTGGTACCAGGGATTGGGGACCCCACAGTATTTATTGCACTTACTCTTGAAAAAACGTAACTTAGAACTGCTCTGTTTTCTTCCAAGCTCAGGGCAACACTTTCAAGTACAGTGTGTTCTTTTCTGAGTTTAGTATCTTTGAAATGGCAATTTTCAATTTCAAACATTTTGAACTTGGAACTATCTGCATAATGATATTTGGGGAATTTTCTGTTGCTCGGTAGTAAATACTCTGTTTTCCCCAAAATAAGATATCCCCTGATAATAAGCCCAATCAGGCTTTTGAGCGCATGGCAATAAGGCCAAGCGTTTATTTCAGGGTTAAAAAATATATAAGACAGGGTCTTATTTTCAGGGAAACACGGTACCTAGCTCCATTGTATCTGAACATGAGCTCCTGACTTTTTATTACTTCTTTTCCTTTTTAAGAAATTGTATTTTGTTGAATTGTGTTGTGCAGTCCTTGGTGTTCTCTAAACTTTACTGTTTGCTTTCATTACCCACCATGTAACATCTTCAGTACTCAACTGAATTTTATTGTATTCTTCAATTGCTGTATTATGATTAAGGAGGTCACACTCACCAGGCCTTTTTTTTTTTTGCCTTTTTTAAGTTTGAATACTAGTTTAATATTTTTATACATTCCCCTTAATATATAAACAATTAAATCTGTGAAGATTATGTGTCAATAGCCTTTCCAATTTCACTGCTTATTTTTGTTTTTACAAAGCTCTACGTGAGGTCAAGAAAGAACATTTTTTTGTCTTGCACAAAATTTAGTTTAAAACTTCCTATTCACTAGCCTTCTTATAAAAAGGAAAGGGTGAAGAAAAGGGAGAATTGTAGCTTTCATTCTTCTTTCATGTACTTCCATGGATTAATATGTTCAGGGTATGTGAAATAAAATAGGAAATCCTATTTCTGATAGTGGTACAAACTTTTTTTTAAAAAAAAAAAACAAGGTAAATAGGAAGTCTTCAAATTTGAGAAGAATTTGAGTTATTTCCACTCAGAAACTTGGCAATTACCTCTATGTAATTGCTTAACAATTAAGGTAGTAGGCTTTAGGTACTTGCTGGATCATTTTGAAGCTGCTGATGTTAAAGAAGAGTCAAGCCATTTTGATTTAGTCAGTATAAGCAAATGGTTCCCCTCTGAACTCACATTAGTTTTTCCCCTGACCTAGAGGGGGGGGGGACTGGAGGGGATAAACATGTTCTACATGTTCATGGACAGAGCCCCAGGAATACCATCTCCAAGGGGATGTGTGATATTCCATATTCCATATTCCTTCAAGAATTGAAGAAGAAGAAAACTATTTGCCCTTCCTAAAGAATTCTCTAGTTCAGTGGTTCTCAACCTGTGGTTTGCAGATGAGGGCCATGATGTCTTCAAAGGGAATGCGCAAAGGCTTGAAGAAATGGTATGGTTTAAATCTTGAGTTAAGTTTTGGGGGTCTGTGGCCATCATCCATGGCAAAAGGCATTTAAGGGAGGACAGTGAAGAAAAGATTGAGAACCACTGATTTAGTCTGAAGAATAGAGAACTTTGCTCCATTAGATCTCATAGGAGGACATGATCTAGGTTTTCACTGATTACAGAATATCATGTAGTGGGACACAAGAAACATGTTTTGACATACTCTCTTCCTGTTGGAACATGACACCACTCAAGTTTATATTGGCTCTGACCTTGCCAAAGTCTTGGTTATTGTCCAGACAAGGGTTCAGAAAGTTAGTGAAGCCTGCATAGTGATGGATTGGCCTGCATTGGTGATGGATTACCCTTAGCTGCCAATTTTTGTTTTTATTCTATGCTGGAATAACAAAGCATGTTATTCTATATTATTTCTGCATAAAATAAAAACAAAATTTGGCAGACAAGGATAATCCGTCACCCAAAGTAACAAACAAGAACATCTTCTTCTATGATGGGGGCCTTGATAAGGCAAAGGGGCTTGTGTGGGTAAATGAAATTGTGGGTTATGTCATCAGACATGTCCAGAAGAGTCTCCCAAGGAAAACAGGCCATGATAGATTCCCCAGACTAACAGTGATCACATCTGCCAACCCGCATTGGACCAGGGTGGAAGATTATGGTTTATTCCTCCCACATGCCAGTACAACCTCAAAAATGGCCCTCATTCCCGGGAGGCCCTAGGGCAGGGGTGTCAAACTCACATCGTCACAGCAGCATCATGTGATGTATCGTGACTTTTTTCCCCTTTGCTAACCGGGCATGAGCGTGGCCAGTGCATGATGCATCCAGCCCGCAGGCCGCAAGTTTGACAGCCCTGCCCTAGGGCAACTACACATGGCAGCGGGAAGACCGTGCCAAAGACAGAGGGTGCTAAAAATCACCAGGTTAAATCAAGCTCCCTTTGATATATAATTTTTTTTTAATTAATATATTCTATACACTAATACACAAATAAAATATACAATCCTGCCACCATGGTATAATATGATTACATTGTCCATAAGTATAAAATCATTCCTTTATACATACATATTTGCCATCATATATATACATCATCATATGTCTATTCTATCCCACCTTTTCTGGACCCAATCGTACCATACTTTCCAACTGTTATAAAATTCTGAATCTTTTTTACCATTGATCAATCTAGTTAGTCTATCTGATTCCGCACACTCATTAATTTTATATATTATTTTCAAATCTATCGGTAAGTATTGATTTTTCCACTCCTGCGCATACGCTAATCTTGCTGCAGTGATAATGTGAATCAACAAGAACCATATATCTGACTTAACATTCAAAGGTTTTGCCCCCAATAGGAAAATCTCTGGTCTTAATTCCAAATTAATCTCTGTAATTTCCAAAATCCATTGCCGTATTTTTTTCCAATATTTAACCGCCTGCGGGCAGGTCCACCATTGGTGAAAATAGGTTCCATTGCTGTAACCACACTTCCAACAGCAGGCAGATGTCCCGGGAAACATTTTAGCTAATCTCGCCGGGGGGAGATGCCACCGGTAGACCATTTTATATATGTTTTCTTTATATGAGGAGGCCATGGTTAATTTCATATTTTTCAACCAAATCTGTTCCCATTGCTGGAAGTCAAGGGGGTATCCAAAATTTCGCCCCCATGCTATCATACAATCCTTCACTACATCCTGTCCTATCTGCAGAGACAATAAATATGCATAACATTTAGATAATATCCCTTTCCCTCCTCCTAATAAGATCTTATCCAATTCTTGTCTTTTACGGTAGATTCCTTCACTATGTAAATCTTTTTTATACCTGGAGTGCACTTGCGAATAAGACCACCAGTCTATCTTATATCCTTGAAGAGTTAATACTTCTCGTGACTTCGGATTACCCTGAACATCCAAGAAACCTTCATACGTCAAGGTTTTCTCCCCTTTATACAATGTCGGGTAAACCTGAGCTTCCTGCGCCGAAATCCAACATGGAACTTTTGTATATACTCTTCTTCTAACCTTTTCCCAAGTGTACCCAAGCGTCCTACGTAAATAGTGGTCATCAAAGTGTCTAGGACGGCCGGATGCTCCCGGCCATAGAAAATAGTGCCAGCCATGTTGAAGACCGGCTCCCTCAAATGTCAAGTCGTCTCTTTTGTAGGACCATCCATTCTTTCACCCAAATCAGGTTCGCTGCTTGGTGATAGAGCTCCCAATTTGGGAGTCCAAATCCTCCTCTATTTTTGGGTTCTTGTAACATTTTAAGTCTAATCCGCGGCCTCTTTCCCTGCCAGATAAATTTAGATATACTCCTATCCAAATTTGTAAAAAACTCTTTATTCAACCTTACCGGGGCTGTTTGGAATAGAAATAACCATTTGGGTAACACGCACATCTTAATGGTTGCCACCCTTCCCAAAATTGATAGCTGGAGATTTTTCCATCTTTCTAAGTCTCTGAGCATCTGGCTGTAAAGAGGAAGATAGTTATCCTCCTTTATGGAGGAACATCTGGCGGTCAACCATATACCCAGATACTTAATTTTATTTGTTATTCTTAAGCCCATTAACTGCTCCAGCTGTTGCCTTTGCATCTGAGTCATATTTTTCACTAGGATTTTAGTTTTTTCTTCATTCATCTTTAACCCCGCTACCTTCCCATACTCTCTAATCAAGCATAATAATTTCAGGCCCGAGTCCAGTGGTTGATCCAAGATAAATACAAGATCGTCTGCATAAGCCTGAACTTTAACTTCCTCCTGCCTAATCTTCATTCCTCTTACTTCCGTGTTTCCTCTCACTTCTCTAAGCAAGGGCTCTAAAGTTAATACAAATAGCAATGGGGAAAGGGGACATCCCTGTCTTGTACCTCTACGAATTTGAATTCTCTCCGTCTCCTCTCCATCTATGAGAACTCTTGCAGTCTGCTCCCGGTAGATAGCTCGAATTGCCCGAATAAAATTCCCACCAAACTCCATATATTCCAATTGAGAAATCATAAATTCCCAACTGATTCTGTCAAACGCCTTTTGGGCGTCAACAAAAATTAGGGCTAATTGTTTATCTGGGCGATTTTCGAAAAATTCTAATGTATTCATGATAATTCTAAGATTATCTCGTAGATA